GCCATTGCCAAGATTCAAGTTCTTAAGAGATGCAGAGGAGAAGCTTTACAAGAGGAAAGTAATGGAGATTGTAGAAAGTGAAGAACTCAAGGGCTAAAATTGGTAAAACAGAGTTTCAAGAATTATTAAGAATATGGACAAAAGGTGGTCCAAAAATAATAAGAATTTCAAAATCTTATACAATTTAAAATAGCTAATATTTTCTCTCTTTGGGATTTAATTGTCTTTGTAAATCTTTTGCCTGCAAACATTTTATTTTTGGTCTGAATGTTTTTGGCTCCTTGGTTAGAATTAAACCGGTCGTAAATTTTCAGTGGTTAAAGGGATTTTCAATCAAATCATGCTTTTTTAGATAAAGAGAATAAAGATTCTTCTTTCATAATTACTACTACACACACTGTTGTGGTTGACATTTAAAGATACACGAACTCATCAGCACTCTAATCCTAAACCGACTTTTTACCCTTTTTAAAGGAATTTAATTCTGAACGAATGTTAATATTTTATATCGAATATAGAGTTTAGAAAGGTAAACGTAACATGTGAAGAGGAAAAAGATACTAATTGATATTTTCGAGATCATTCGCTTCCAAATGCTAATTTTTTTTTTTTTTTCTGAAGAGTATTGAAACTTTGAACATGGACCGATAAATTGGAATAAATAACACGATAAGTGAATATAAAAGCTGTGAATAAAAGACAGAGACATATAAGACTCAAGTGGGGAATCTCTTTCTCCTTTCAGGATTTTGTCCCCATATCTTTCAGTTTATGTCTGATATATATATATACTTTTGTATCCCAAGTGGCATCAACAAGTGAAATTTGGTTGTTACCTCTTCTAATCACACACATTGCGGATTTTTGTGATTTTTTTATAAAGTTTATTCCTTCGTTCCGATGACAAAAATAGAAAACAAATCATATTCAACAATGAAATTTGTTTTCTTTGTTGTTGTTTTCATTATGGCAATGTTACCACAGAAATGCTAACACAATTTTCAAGCAAAACAAAAACAATTAATGAAATGCTACTCGGCAATATGGAATGTTGAAATAAATGTTACAGTGGAGATGTAAGAATGTGACTTTGAGACAGTCTAAAAGATCAGATTCCTGAGGATGCGAGAAGAGGTAACCCTAGCTCAGGACATAGAGGACTCAAGTCCGGTTCCTCCAAGAGGCTAAAAGCCGTGTAACCGTAGTATGAATGATACAGATCCGGTAATTGTCCAGGAAATTTACTGAACCCACCATACTGGAAAACAATAATGTATGAGCAACGGAGTTAATCACATTGTTATTACTGCTAATCGACCGTGAGTCAAAGTCTCAAAGATGTATAACATGAATGACGACTATGTACCAAATGATCTAACAAGTCGTAGACCATATCGGCTCTATAGGTTGCAATTAGTATTATACAATAGGTAAATAACTATAAGCTTAGTCGCTTTACAAATGTTAAATAGTTAAGATGAGACGTAAAAGGAGAGGTACCTTGGACTGACAATTCAGTAAAAATTGGCGCAGAGCAATTTTGTCGATGAGTGCATCACCTCCTATGAGTTTAAGGACAGCTCCAATCCTACATACATGCGCAAGACCCGTATCAGCGGATGGGAACAATCAGGGCCCGTATCAGCACAAGATGGATGGACTTACCAAAACGCATAGCATGTGTCGCTCGGTTTGTTAGTCCTACCTTGAAACCCACCATCACTGGCTTGTCTCTATAGACAAGGAAAGAAAAATCCGTCAGATCGTTCAGGTTCATTACGGAAAAAAAAAAGTAATATTATCAGGCAAGTTCAAAAGGTAGACATTAAACCTCTGAACATATTAAATGAACCGATACCTGTAGACACCAGTTGAGAAGCAATGAAGGGTCTATTATTGAACTGCTTGAACCATTTGATAGCAGATCAACTCCAATGAATCCCATCAATCGGAGGGATGCAATAGCACAGTAAGTACCACCACCTGCATAACTAAGTTTCAGAACGTAGGTAAGCATCATAAACGGGTACAGTCGAATAAATCCAATGCCCCATCATAAACGGGTACAGTCGAATAAATCCAATGCCCCATAGCATAATTTGTTTCTAAAATGCAAGTGACTAATTAATGAAACATCTGAGTTAAATATAGAGTTCTCAATGGCCAATTCACATAGTCAATTCACATTAAAACATGTGCTACCTACTATTACTGTAAATGTACAAAATCAAGTTACAGATTATAGAAGAATTGTTTTCAACTCACCATGAGATTCAGAACCAGGGATCAACCCAAAGCCACCATCATATGACTGCACAAAGAATGATGTTGCACAAGAATGTCTTTTTAACACAGAAATTGACACACACAAAAAAACTTTTAAGGAAGAAAAATGACAAAGTAACTGCCAGAACAAAAGTAAACCTGACAGTTTAAAATGTAGTTCTTAGCCATCTCCTTGTCCATTCCACTCCAATTATCCAGCATGTAACAGATTGCAGCTGATCACAAGTAAAAACTAGAATGATACTCCACTAAAAGTATAAAGAATATAGTCTGGATAACCTGTTAGGCAGCTACTTACCCGCACAATATACAAACCGAAGATCCGTCTCGCCTCCAGTATGGATAGGCATGAAGCTGTAGGAAAACAAAAAAAAGTAACCATACCCAATTCAGAACCCATTACACATTGGTAGTTATATACCGGCATACCAAACATGTTGCAGCATGCAATTGAAAATATTGTAAACAAGTTTTCCAGCCGAAAAGGCTTAGAAGTTAGAGCTAAGCAACAAAATTTTAAGAAATTATGGCATTACAAATGCATTATGCTTTTTGAAGCTCCAAACTAATACCTTCCATCATCCTGTTGAAGGTTTCTCATGGACAACAATAGTGATTCAGAGTCCATGGTCGAGAGATCATGCCCAATGACCTTCAGAATGGCTAAGGCACAGTAAGTGCTTGCCAAGTGACTACAGTTGTGAGTTAAACCCTGTGGCACAGACTCAATGTAAG